GGGTTTAGAATAATTTGGGACAAGCTTTGGTCTTTTGTGCTCAAGCTTGAATGCACACAAGCTACACTTACACTAGTTAGATGTGATGGGGAACATGGACTTATTTTCAATGCTGTTATTTATTTCTACACTCTAATAAATCAGACTTCAGCAGTGATTTCTTGAGACTTTTACGTGATCATCATCCACCTGTGAAAGGGAGACATCTCTAACTCACTCACCAGGTTACTCTAAATACAGGAAAAGTGTCATTTTAAAGTTTTGAGTTCAAATCATGAATTCTGGATCCACTTTGAGTATCCTTAAGTCAAACTAGTCTTTTCTCTTAGGTGCTGTTTTGTATATTTTAGCATTATAACTACAATTTCTCAATAAGCTGCATGTTCTCACCTAAACTCTTAAACATATCGACGTTCTTTAATCTGTCTCCATTTGTACTTTACAAACAGGATTCACCCTAAAACATGTCGGCGGTGATCAAGCTGACTGTCGATCAGCTGCTCTTCACAAGTTTGGGCTCAAACACTTGTTCTGAATACATTTTTAATCAGCTTCAAAATCCAATCTGATCCAGATTCGGCTCCAATTGTCAACAATTATCTGAGCAGGATAAATCGCATAAAGGCCACAACCACAGTTCAGCAAGCCGAGATCCACATAAATACGCCTGTCTCAGTGTTCACCAGGGTTCCTGTGTTACAGACCTCCTTCCAGAACCCCCCCAACCCTGGTCAGACCCAAAACATATCGCTGAGGGTCCCTAGTTGGTGCCTGGAAACAGTTTGCTAAACTGCTGTTGGACCAGTGGGTGACTTTAAACTGATAAATCCAGACTGGTGATGAGTGCACCAACCCAACTGCTCCCTGCCAAGCTGCTTCAGACGTATCCGAGCCCAGTTCCAACCCCCACTGCTGTGGTTCTGACCCAACGGAAACACAACGTACACTTGTATTTACCTCAATATACACACAACAAAGACAAAAGACAGGCACTTGAACAGATTTGTGTTTGCAAACTTTATTTTGGTTAGGGGGAATGTTTGTGCAAGACATTTTATTCCTGAAGGTTAGGCAAAACTGGAATATCACATTTTCACAAAGTAGAAGAAGTAAGCCCCCCTCCACCACCGTTCACAACACGACGCCTCCGGCAGTCAGAGGCCGTCGCAGTAATCAGAGTATAAAGAAATCTAGAGAGAGCTGTTGCAGACCTGTGCCCCGATAAGTATTGCCATCTGAGTCAGCGAACACGACGAGCTACAATGTGCTTAACCAGATCAGATTCTCAGAGTGCAAACACCGTGGTCGACGGGATGTCTGCCCCAACAACACAAAGCTTTGTTTAGAACCACATCAGGATCTTGCTTGGAGGGAAAGAAAAAACCTGGGGTGTGATGTGCAGACAGGAACCTCTCGATCTAGATTTATTTTATGCTCGGTTCACATCTTTACACTTCACAAGAGTTTCTTCGACCGTCCAAACGAGGGCAGCAGCTCTCCTTTATGTCACCAGGTTGTTGCTTATTACTGTTAGAACACAAGTTCCCTAAACAAGCTTGCCGAGGCTTCTAGCCGGGTGGTTAGAGAGGGACACTTGGTCACTTTGGTCAGTGAGTCAGCAGCAAACAGTTCACACATCCCGACAGTGTCTAGGAATCGTGGCACACTTCAGGACTTCAGTCCATGACACAGTATCAGTAGTTACACTAAGTAGCTTGGTCCCCCGTCAGAGATTAACTTCGTGCACCTTTGTCAGCGTGCACACCTGTGTGCAAGTACCCAAGCTTAACATACACACACACAAGCATCCATTCACACATTTCTCCGTACTAAGCCCAGTGGAGGCACTTCATATGAAACTGTAGAACCTGACTGTGTCGGGCTGTAACGAGGCAGTTCAACATTAACAGGACAGCTCTGATCATTTAGTGTTTTCATTCAGGTGACTTAACGCTCAGGAAGCCAGACAGGCTCGGGAGGTCTTTAGACTTCGGAAAATCACTTTGAATACTGGTCAGTTATCACATAATGTCCAAACATGGCCGGCACAACAAACAGCCACATTTACCAGCATTTGGCGATTTTCGCCGTGCGCCCATCAAATAAATATTTCACTGATACAGCCCATACATCATTACTATCCATACACACGTACACACAAATCATACTAGTGTGTGTTAAGATTAAATTCAATAGCAGCTTCGAGGGGCAGGCACATCAAAAATGAGAGCCAGGAAAAAAAAACAAAAAACTGCCATCAAGTATGAAGACCAAACTCCAGAAAAGCTACGGTTTGCATCTCAGCTGTCTTTCTTCGTCTCGCCTTGTAATTCTTTCTCCCTTTTGACCTGTACTGTGTTCTGGGAACAACTCAGAGGGAAAAACAACGTTGCTGTTGTGAAAGACATCCGGTTAAAGCGTGGATGCAAACCTCCTATTTGCCTTTGAGCGCAGACTCTCGGGTTACACCGTCTGCCTCACCTATGGCACCTAATGTGAAAACACCTATGGCTTCAGGATGCAGTGGTCCAAAAAAATAAATTAAGAAACTAGATCAGGTTATTTATTAAGTATAACAACTAAAACACAGTTTAAATACCTTAAAATAACTGCTACAGCCCTGTTCTAAATACCTATTACTTCTGCTAAATACTATTCATATTTTACTCTTAAAATCATCTTAAATCCGTGATCGGTAACATCGGAGACAGTAGGATGGTGATTTATCGACAGGCATGTGGAGCGTTATTACCTTAACAATTCCATTTAAGGCAATCTCATCCGTTCCCGCCGCCCAATGATGTGACAGCAGCGCGTCAAACAAACAAGAGCTCAGGGAAAAAAGAAACAAATACGCACAACGAAGCCATACTTTAGTCAGGATCCTGGCAAAGAAACTTGTAGAATATAACTACTGTGGCATTTAAGGCTTTTTCCAGAAGGCTTGAGGATAGAAGAGCAACGTGTGCCCAGACAACATTAACCAGAAAAAAAAAAAAAAAGAGGAGGACATGAGTCTGGAGCTTCGTGCTAGAGACACATCTAGCGAAATATAACCTGCATTACGCGATCTCGTTTCTTTATAGGTAGCGGAAATACAACACGGGGCAACGCCAGTGATTAGTAGATGAACATCCCACCACAAGCCACACAGAAAACGTCCACACACCACATCAGTTGCATTACAGTAGTAAAGTGGTGATAAAATGTGTCGAAGGGGAAACGCAGCATCTTCCCTGCTTGCATTATTTGAAGTACTTGCATGCTTGCAAGTGATCAATTTGCTTTTCACATACTCACACACACTCTCTCTCTTACACACACACACAGTTTTAGTAATAATAATAATAATAATAATGGGATGCTATTCTGTTTCACATTAGCTATAGACAAATAAGGGCTAATGGAGGTTCGGCTCCTTTTGCCAAGCATAAAAGTAATTTTCTACGATTCAAGTAGGACGATCTACAGTAATACAACAAAAACGGTCATAAAACAAACTACTTAAAAAGCAACTCTTGAAATATTACACACAAGAGGGCACTTAAAAACTACATGAATCTCAGAAACGGAGAGTGTTACTGTTTTTGCTAGTGCTGGCTTTGTCGGATTTCTAACCCAAATCGTGCTCAATTCAAAACCTACCCCCCAACGGTGCAGTTCATAAACCCACGTTTGTATTCCTGATAGAATAAGTGTACACCTCAACGATGAGAAAGAGCTCCTAAAACGTTATCAACAGTCGTATTAATTGCATATACATGTAACCTTCTTATTAAAATGGATCACAAACCTGTTAAAAGGATAAATAATTGCCAAAACAAAAAAAAAACAAAAAAACAAAACAACATTACACGAGGACATCCTAAATCTTGCCTTTGGGCAGTTGTAAGGCCACAAATGCTGATAAAAGTTGTTCCATTTCAACCCATGAAAAGCACTGTGACAATCATAAGGCAAGCACACGCTCAGCTGCAAACGAACAATTTAGAACACCATATATACATGAACAAAGAGCAGCACATCCATGCCAGTGATGAAAAGAGTGGACAACAATCTCAAAAACCCTTCATCTGCAACAAAGGTACGACATGGCTTAAGACCTGAGGAATACTTTGAAACATCACAACCTGGTGGGCCTCCAAACTGAGCTCTGAAGCAATAAAATCTAATTGATCACTTGCAAGATCTTAAAGAATAAAACACGTATGTTGAAAGTAGCTGTTGAGAAAAACTCAAAACACACCACGTGGGGATAAGCGCTAACGTTAACGGTAGCCTGGGTGATGAGTGTGGACGCCTCCGCTGCTGCTGGGCTCCTGAACTTGGCCCATGGCTGACCTGTGCATCTTCTCCATCACATCCATGTTCTGCTCCTGAAAGCCGGGCATCTGGAAGTCTCCCCCTAAGAAGTCCACATTCGACATCAGCTTAGACTGCCCAGCTGGACCCTCTTTCCCAGGCCTGTACTTGGCCCCTGGGATGCGGTCTGTGGAGGCAGCAGCCTGCCCTCCCTGGAAAACCACCGGCAGGTCCTGAGGGCCAGATCCATTGTTACCTGCTGTGGTTGGGATGCTGCTCCACGGCGGCTGCATGTAGTGGCCATTAACGTAAGGCATAGATCCTACTGGGCAGTTAACAGGAGACGAAGGTCGAGGTTTCTCTGCAGGATGTTTCAGAGGAAAGCCCTGTGCAGTGTTTGGTAGCTTGTGGGAATAGCTGAGGTTTCGTGAGGGGAAAGAACACTCAGCTGGAGGGTCCATCCTTGGGTTCTTGCAGGGATGAGCCCCCTCAGGAGGCTGCTGCATGTGGGCCAGTTGATGCTGCGCCCAGGAGCGCTGCTGCTGCAGCTGCTGCAGCTGTTGTAAATGGTGCTGCTGCTGCTGTATCTGCTGCTGTTGTTTCTGATGATGTAAATGGTGCTGAAGCTGCTGCTGCTGCTGCAGTTGGACCTTCTCAGGGTCTGTGTGAAAAGCAGGGATATTGTTAGGAGCAGCTATACTGGGCTGTGAATGGAGAGCAGCACTGGGAGTCTGAGCTGCTGCTTTGTCTGGGGGTCCCACCATCAGGCAGCTGGGCACGTTGCCCATCGCTGGGTGGTGAGCGGACACTCTTGAGCTGGCGTTGATCAGCAGGTTGCGGCTGATGGGGCTGGGGTTTGCGATCTGGCCCTCACAGACTGAGGTGGTGCCCATGCCGGCCCGAGCCTGGCACAACTGGTTGATTTGGTGCACGATGCTGCTCAGGTCGCCTGGCCGGTTCTGATGCAGGCTGGCTGCCATGGACAGTGGGATGGTGGAGGTAGATACAGTTACATTTGGTGGGGCGTCTGCGTCAGGGAGCTTCCGCGGCCCGTATGGTCCAGGTGTGGGCTGCTGGAGGCTGCTAGGCATGTTAGCAGGTCCCGCAGCTACAGGTTGGGGGAGGGCCTGTGAGCCAACTAGCCCCTGGGTGTGCTGCAGGCTGGGAAGCTGAGCTCCGTCAGGTAAGTGGCGCAGATCCTGAGTCACTCCTTGTTGTGTGAGTAAAGCTTGTGGAGGAGCCGTCTGATGCTTTAGTGTCTGCAGATGAGAAAGATGCTGCTGTGGTACGACTGGTGGGCAGGACGGGCCCTGCTGCTGCTGCTGCTGCTGCTGTTGTTGTTGTTGTTGTTGCTGCTGCTGTTGTTGTTGTTGTTGTTGTTGTTGCTGCTGCTGCTGCTGCTGCTGCTGCAGAGCCTGGCTGTGTGGCAAACTCTGCTGCCTCTGGATAGCTTGTGGATGAGCCAATCTTTGCTGCTGCGAAGTCTGAACCTGGGACAAGCTCTGCTGCCGTTGTAGCGCTTGTGAATGAGCCATGTTTCTTTGCTGTAAAGCCTGTGGATGAGGCTGCTGTAAAGCCATTGGATGAGTCATACTTTGCTGCTGCTGCTGGAGCGCCTGTGGATGAACCATGCCCTGCTTCTGGGCTGCAGGCTGAGGCGGGCCCTGCATGTGAGGAGCAGGCTGAGGAAGATTTAAAGTGCTTTGAGTGGCGTACGGCCCACTGTGAGGGTTCATGACTGCCTTTTGTAGCTGTCGAGCGCGGCTACCGTCTGACTCTTTGATGACGCCTTTGACAGGCGCACGGAGGACGGCCAGCAGGCCTCCACTGGTGCTGACCTGAGACGGGTAAGGACTGTGGCGCTGGCTGGACGAGGAGGTGTCGAGCCCGTTGACTGTGCGGCGAATGTGCTTCCTTTGAGGTACTTTGACACTGTTGGGGAAGATCTGGATGGTCAAAGGGTTGTTGGCAACTTTCTTAGCATAGGCATCCAACTCTGCTGGGGTTGGGTAGCTGGCAGATCTCATCTTCTGTGTAGTTTCCCCTGCAAGATGTAGAGAGTCAGAAAACCAGCACTGACTGGGATTTGACATTTACTCACAACACAATATACTGAGATGTGCTGTAACACTACACTGTGTGGCAGTAAGCGATGTGGGAGTAGATGTCCTTCAGCGTGAGCTTTGTCTTACGGCTCCCTCAGAAATCCTGCAGTCATTCCAGCTAGCACGGCAACAAAACCTCACATCCCCTTCTTTAATGTTTTGAAACAAATGCATCGTGTGATTAATAATGAATATTAACGGAGTGAGAAGCTGGCATCTGATTTGGACTTTTTCTGTAATTTACTTAATTTACTAAAAAGAAGCATCATCATGTTGCTCCTGAACGTTTACCCACCACACTGTTTTAATGGTCAGCAGTTATGTTGCACAATCACACCTCTGCACATCACAGTTAATGATACTGAAAACCTCAACCTGTGCATTGAAGTGTATGATGAACACACAGTGCGATCCCTAATGCTCATTAATATATAAACTCAAAGGAAATACAACCACAACATGCTGAAAGAAAACACTTACATTTCTGTAGTCCAGTGTTCATCTGCGTGCGGGAAAGAAGTCTGATGGTAGGGTCACCTGATGCCGGCAGACAGGCCAGCATGTCACTATTCCACTAATGCAGCATGGGACACCTTCTCCAGTCCTCACCATACTGGGGACAAACAGAGCAGGTGCAAGTCAGCCGCTGACAGACACTTACAGTGGTGTGAAATGACTCTGCCATCGTCGATTTTCACATCCAGTTCAGTTTGACCTTTTGCAAATGGTGGCTTGTAATAAAGTGACATCATGGTTCTGTAAAAGCTCGCTGTGTACACACTGCGGCCAGCAAAGAGCGGAGATGGAGATGGAAAAAGCCTTTTTTTTTTTTCCCCCTCCTTGAACAAAGCGGCACATACACACAGCATGATGGCAAGCTGGAAGCCAACCAGCCATCTTCTCCAAACTCAAGAGGCTGTGCCAAAAGCACAGCACAAAAAGCACAATTTCTTCAACTGAACATGTTTATAAGGTCATAAAACCTACACTCAAATCAAAATGGAAGCACTGGGCCGGAATCCAGACGCATTTAATACAGAAAAGCCAACAGCCTCGTTGATTACCGGCTTACAAATGTAAGCAAAAACGTACAATTTATTATAAAGACTGCAGCATTGTAGTAAGTCAAATGTATGTATTTCAACAGTGGCAGTGAACAAGCGATAAATCACTGTCTGAAAATCAATGATGAATCTGCAAAACAGTGTGTGAGCAACCATAACCATAAGAAAATGTAATCACTGGTCAGACTTGGGAGTTGGCCAGCAGGGTCAGTGTCACTGCTATTCACCGTCATGAATAGAAGCATTGAGAGAAGTATTAATATTGTACAGATTAGTATCTATATTGCAAAAACACAGATATAGCATATACACATAAGTGTATGTAGAAAGAAAAAAAAAAAAGATATTGTACTGTGTTTTCTTAAAAGTACAAAATATTCAGAATTCCCAGAATGTGTTGATGTTGTACCAACAGACAGCTTCTGCTATCAGTCACGGCTGCTGACTCAGTTTACATCACCACAGTGACCGCCGGCTTACAGATAGCTGACAGTGAAACGTTTCCAGTAAGTTGCATGTAGTGAGTTACGGCTGAACAATGATTAGCCTTCAAACTGAAATCTGAAACAAGGCAATTAGCAAATCTCAACGGCCACATCTGACCCAGGGTTTAAACTGCCGTGGCAACAACTTCACAGATGCACGCCGTTCTCTTGTGTGACAGTCGAGCTTCTGATGTTTTCTGATGAGGAAATTCTATTTGACACGTTTTAACGAACCTCCAGAATGATCCACAAGCTGTCAGAATGCTGAACTGCTGATCCACATATGCAAACACTTCTTTATTTAAATTGCTTTAAGGTATTGGATCCTGAGGAAACGCTCTCTCATCTTGCCTGTACGACTGCGTCTGTACAGCAGAATGACAATAAACTTGATTTGATTCAAATCTATGACGCTGTGAATATTGAACTGAAGACGGAGTCTGACAAAAAAAAATATAAAATTGCAATTAGACACGCTCCCAAAATTGTTTTGTCCTCCAGTGAGACGCACAGATCTCAAACAGACCAAACAATTGTTCAGTAAATCAAGAAGCCAGCAGGATAATGGATGAAGACAATATTCATTAGTTTCAGCCCTATTAGAGATTTCCTTCCCCATCTCCCTAAGCCTGGACAATCTGGGGAAAACATCTAATAGCAACTTTTCTGACAGATATTGCAGTTTGATTTGCCACCTAATTCGTCAAAGTCAAGCTTTAATGCAGTGATTGTACTTAAAACATATGATGGAGAATTCACTATCAAAGGCGTGACAGTTTAACCCAGCCCTGGCTCAGATGCACTCCATATCATCTATCCTAGGTTCCAGACTTTCCAATTTACTAACTGAATTGTTTCATTTCCTCCACTGGGATGTTTTTGCGATGCAGTAATTGCAGATTCATCATTCATTCGCAGACAGTCTGTGATTCATCACTTGTTCACTTCCACCCTTCAAACTGTCTGACTTGTTATAAAGGTTCATTCCTCATGACTGAATGTCCTGCAGGTTCCTGGATTATTGTTGGTGTGAGCATATATTCAGTGGGGCGCACAGGAGTGACAGTTTGTAGGAGAAAGGAAGCAGGGATCCTCATTAAATCAGACTCAATAATGTGACCTTTCAAACACGGGCCACACTAACTTTGTGGAGCTGAGGCTTCGCTCTCCGCTACAGCCTCCGTCCGCTCTTTACACACGTCCGGGAACATATTAAAACCCGTCTTACAGCCGGGAAGGTTAACTTTCAGACAGTCAGGCTGTAGCTAGGTAACGTTAGCCATCTGTCTAGCAATCCAGCCTTAATCTGCTCCAGGTCCAAACAGCTAGCTAACGTCAGTATCGATCTAACAAACGGAGCCGGACTGATCCAGAACCCGAACACGGACCGAGCCGGCCGAACAGCCACCGTGTCCCTTTAGCGGACATAAAAAAAAAGATGAAATTACACCGTTTAAAGGAGGATATCTCGAGTGAAGCACCACGATAAATAAGGAGCTTCTTTGTGCTGATTGTGAGCAGGCCAGCTGGTTAGCAAACTTTAGCTTCTCATTGACGGAAACCGCCGCTGCGAGGCTCGACGAGCCGGAAGATACTTACTCCTCACGAATCTAGGAGTACGGGAACTTCATTTTGTGGAGACACAACGTTGGTATTGATTAGAAAATGACGAGACCATCCCCGGTGTGTTGGTGCTCCGTGCTGCTGTCTGGTTACGGCAGCAACATCTGTCGGGCATGCGCAAAGAAATAAGACCCCGGGTCTGCATTTAGGTACCGACGGTGAACGCCTGTCCAGAAATTCCAACAAATGGGATGTTTTATTTTTACCTTCAGCTTTTTATTGATTTGATTTAACCACATGCAAAAGAAACAAGGCAACCACCCACTATACACGAATATTACAGCAAAACATCCTGGCAGCTGCAGTACCGAATTATAATTATAGCAATAACAATGAAGATGAGGTCAATTGATTTTTTTTTTTAAAAAGAAGAAGAAAAAGAAGCAGAGGAGGAGAAAGAGGAAGAAGATGGGATGTATTTTAAGGGCATATGAAGAGTTTGCAAAAACAGATAACTCCATCTTTCCAAACCTTCAGAAAACCCACTTTTCCATCGTCTACCTGAGACAATATCCACCTTAGGTTATCTGTATTTCTGTCATGTCATTTCTACTGAGTCAGATCCTCTCAACTTCAGTTTGATTGATATTTTCTCAAGCAAACAACAAAAAAATACGTTTTCTGAAAATCTACAAAATGGAGTTATCTGTTTTTGCAAATGAACTCTTCATATCTAAAACAGAATGTAGATTAAAGCGTCATCTTAAAGGAACGTATAGGAATTCAAGGGGAATCTTTTGATTCGATCGGGTTTCCATGTGCAACTTTAACTTTAAAAGACACTAATTCAGGTAGAATAACTAATACTGTAGGTTCTTAACCCTCACATTTAACCTAATGAGGACAACTTAAGGAGTTTTAACAGTAATGTTTAAATTCCCATTTCTCAGGTCAATTCACTTATGAACAACACTGTAGATTCTTAGTCTTAATATTTAGACTTGTCAGGTAAATCTGGTAAAATCTTATTTCTCTGTGGGAATGCACTTTGGCTTGACTACTGCCGGAAAGTATTTGTTAGGGTTAGGGTTAGTGCGTTTTTTTAATGTAGCTGCTGTATCAAAGTGATTTCCTGTGAAAGGATCAATAAAGTGACCATCCTATCCTATCCTGCTCTGAGAATAAAAAACTACTCATTCAGAAAGAAACAGTCTTTTTAAGATATGAAATCTAAACATGCAAACAGACAAAGTGTAGTAAAATAAACACCTAAACGTGGATTTTAGACATTGTCTTTCTACTAGTCTAAAAGAAGACATGATATGAAGCAAAATACCCTCAGCGTAGGAAAAACAATGTTTTTGCCTGCAGCGTCTTGTCTTAAATACAAACTTTTCCTGCAGGACTTTCAATTGTAATGAAGTATTTTCACATTGCTATATTGATTCTTTCATCCTTCAGTAAAAGATCTGAATATTCCTTCTACCACTGTTCATCTGATCCTGTGAAAATCTAACTCATGATCGCTCATTTGCAGGATAAGAAACGACAAAAGGAATCAACAAATGATGGCAGTTTGATTTATTAGAATGACAATTAGTTCAGAGTGAGCAGACGACTCTGCACACAGATGGATGACATGCAGCAAGAGCATACAGGAACTCATGGCCATTTGAGACATACAGTGTACACAGGAAATGAGGACGAGTGATTGACACACGCAGAAAACATTAACAGCAGTAATAACAGTCTTCTGTAAATTCTGTTAGTAAGCTCGGAGTTTGTTCAGTCACGCGCACACAACTGCCGAAGAGTTTCATCGGCTTCAGAGATAAAGTTTAAACTAAACCTCGCCGTCTGTTCGGATGTAAAGCAGGTGAGTGCAGCTCTGTACAGTTTTCAGAGGAGATGTTCTTCTGGAAGTGGATGGAAATATCTCATGGCAGAGGTCAGCCTGCTAAACTCCATAATCTATGGTACCTCTCCTCAGTCTGTTTCCAAAACTGGACGGATTCTGTGTCCCGCAGCGCTGGATTTGACCCCAAAACTACAAAGCATTGTGACATTTACAAACAGCAATATCACTGTTTAAAATAGATATAGCATTACTGTATAAGTTAAAGTACTCTCCTAAAACATCACCGTATATCTGATGTCACAGTTAATCATAAAACTAATCAGTGCGGATATATACAAACATGGAACTGAAAGTGTGTTTCCCTAAAACGTGTAAAAGACACTCTGTTGAACATGGCTTAGCGTCTACAGGTAATCGTAGTGTTAAATTAAACAGTGGTTCAGATGCAGGTTTCCCCAGTTCCCCCTTCTGACACAGTAAAAACTAACAGACAGTCTATTCTATTTGGCATCGCTGTTTCACCTTTCATTTTCATGTTCTATTAAGTCTATTCACATTTCCCACAGTAAAAACGTATTTCATACAGCTCTACGCCAACAATTTATTTATTTTTTTTGGTACAATTTCCTCGTGACTTTTTTTTCCTCTTTTCGAACACGACCAATTTTTTTTTCACTCTTAATCAAGGCCCAAACTATTCATATTGTACATTAAAATCCACACTAAATATTAAAGGACCACATTACAAGCTAACCACATCAGCACAAGATCAGAATTTTGCTACCCGTTTTCCTGTTAGCATATAAATAAAAAAAATCAAACGTATCATGCTTGATATCAACAGTTTGTGGAGGATAAAAATTCTGTTTCGAGGGGAAGACACAAAAAAAGTAGTAAAAGTTTAAGGTTGAATTTTGCACAATGACAGGGGCTTCTTTTACAGTTCAGAGCACCTTTGTTACGTTGAAAATCAACTAGAAAGACGTAAAGCGATGTTTGATTGTTAAAAATACAACAAGTACAACACAAAAAAAAAAGATTCAGATTTTCTAGGGAATGCAGATGCTTCTAACAATTAAGAGGTATTTAAATGAACAAAAGGCCCGCGACGTACCGTGCAAAAAGTGACAACAGCGGCCTCATTGTATGAACAAACATGGCTTCAGTGTATAATTACCAAAGACTACGTGTCGTCATATTATAAAGCAAATATGACCTGGGTGAGAATCAGCAGGATGTAAATCACCACAACAGTCTCCTCCTTTATGATATTTCATACAAACAAGCCAATAAATCCAAGTAATAGATTAAAACACAAAATATTCTCATGTTCAAACTAAAAAAAACCAAATGACTGAATGAGCAGCAGTGCATGCAGATTTTCTGGTCCTGTATAAAGTAAGGCACCAGAGGTTTCCAAAATTCACTTCATATACAGAGTATACGTATAAAACAACAAAAATCTTCAAGTGTATTAAAGGCAGTCTATGAGAGTGCATACAACAGAGACTGGAGTCATGTGGAGTCTTCGGTTTTCAGGCTTAAGAGCTGGACATCTTCTGCAGCAAAGGGAGCTGTCGGAGAAAAGGACGCATTATTCAGCCGGAACTGAAACTCATACAAGAGACGGAGCACTTTCGTGACCTGCATTTTTGAAGATAACGTGTGAGTTTCAACTTCTTTTACGCTCACATCTGAAACAAATAGCTAAAACCAAGCACGGCACAGACTCTCAAGATTATTAAGGTGACATTTAAAGTCACATTTCACCATTTTTATGTTTTATATACATTGCATTGCATTTGAAGACTACCTACTGGTCAGGGAGAATCGTACTCAATTTTCTTTGGTCTTTTTTCATTTGTTTATTTCGTAGTAGTCTCGCTTTGCCAGCTCATTCTGTAGAACATTATGGTCTGGCTGTACCTTACTAATATTGTTCTGTAGGGGAACATAGGCTTGCTTGCATTCTCTTAGACCAGGGGTGTCCAATCCTGGTCCTGGAGGGCCACAATCCTGCATGTTTTATATGTGTCCCTCTTCCAACACACCTGATTCAAATGATCAGGATGGTTATCAGGCTTCTGCAGAGCTTGATGATGAGCTGATCATTTGAATCAGGTGTGTTGGAAGAAGGAAACATCTAGAACATGCAGGACTGTGGCCCTCCAGGACCAGGATTGGACACCCCTGTCTTAAACCAGTCACAAAGATTATGAGCGTGGCTAAACGAAGGACGCAGCTTTGGCGTTCAGAGTAGTGAAATGGAAATGCTGTGATGGAACAACTGACTAATGTGGACAACACATCTCGAAAAGCTAACAGAGCTTCCTGACTGCCTGATCCAAGTCCTCTGAAAACCTTGAATATTTTAGTGCGGTAGTTTGCTGCTCAGAGGTTGTTGTTGTTGTTTCCCATTGTGAAGAAAACAGTATCACACAGATGGCAGGAGGAAGCTGACAGAAATGAGCGGAGGCTTATATCTGCATCCGACATCCGGTGAGTCAGACTAATTTCATAGTAAGATTGGAGAGAGACAGGAAATATGGTGACAGAGTAGAGGAATGCAGCAAATCGCTCCCAGCCACGAATCAACACTGAATGGTTTGGGGGAAATATCTAATTGCAGACAGATGTTACAGTTTGTGCTTTGGTTCAGTTCAATGTTCACCGTCTAATAGATTTAACGCGTGGTCGTCACAGGAGACACCATGAAAAGAACGACACAATAAGGTTGCCATGAATTTGTAAAACCATTGACTGTTTCATGTACATCCCAGACTGCAGCCTTTGCCATTGGCTGATGCATCGTTTTAAAATTGGATTACCGTAAATTCCGGACTATAAGCTGCTACTTTTTACACGGTTTGAACGCTGCGGCTGAAACATCGATTTATGGATTTTTTTCGAGTTTTCTGAATTTACCTCAAAACAAAAATGACATTGAGAGCGAAAGCGAGACTGAGGAAGTGACGAAGTAATTCTGAGGCTGTTCATCTCCGACACTGAAGAAGACGACTTTAGTGGTTTCAGTGCAGGAGGAAGATGAAGATAGCGATCAGTGACTTTTCCTGGTAGGCTGCTGTAGTTTTATTTTCTTAACCAGCCGTGTTTCAGGCACTGTTTGGAAAAAAGCCTTTACGTATATGTGTATGTTTCCGGTACGTATTTAATTAAAAGTTAAAAATCTTCTGTGTAAATATCTCCTGTTACAACGTGGACACCTGCAGCTTATAGACAAGTGCGGCCTGTTTATGTACAAAACTACTTTTCTTTTTAAAGTTAGTGGGTGCGGCTTATATTCAGGCGGCTCTATAGTCTGGAATTTGTAACTGTTCAGCCGCATGCAGCCTAACCACTGGGGCACCGAGTTGACTCGTCCAAAATAAATGTTTGACAGAAAACTGGCTGCGTTAACAAGACAGCGTTTGACTAAAGACACGATATCTCAGCCTCTGCTACTTCAGGTACACTTAATGTAGCGCCAAATTAAAAACAACAGCACCAAAAACAGATCCTTTTTCTTTTATATAGCGCTCAGTAATCCTAATAATACATCTACATTGCTACACATCGATATGATGATGAAGGAGATTACCTTTGTCAAATCCACTCCGGTGAGAGCGTTGACGGACACAGGAAGTTCAGCCAGGAGGCGGTTCACCTCGCCGGTCACTCGGTTTCCCTCCCCACTGAGAATGACGATCTCACTGGTCCTGGATAAAGGTGCTGCCACCTTCCCAGCAATCTGCAAGGACACGTGAAGTGTTATGGATCATCAAAATCTTTTACATGAAGTTATCATGTGACTCATTACAATCCATGAAAGAAAAACACCTTCAACCATCGTGTGTTCGCTTCTGAAGTTTGGTTCATGAGAAATGAATTGTTTCAGTTTCTAAGTTTTTGTCTAAAAATGTCAAATACCGATTTTTAAGTGCTTATGTGGGATTAAACACAGAATAAAACACAAACTAAGATGTGCTGATAGGAACATCTATCACATTTAGACCCAGCCAGATAAGTTGTTTCCCGTTTCCAGTCTTTTTTCAAAGCTAAGTTCAATTTTCATGCAGCAGATTCGTCACAATTTACAGATAAACATAAGATTAGTATCAATCTGCTCAACTAGCAGCTGCAGTAACGATAAATTAATGCTTTAATTCATGTGCAGACAAGACTTAAAAAAAACCTTTTAGGAGGCATGTTACTGCATGTTGTACAAAGTGTTCTGCTTGAACACACCAGTCAACTCAAACTGAACGTTCCTCTGAACATATCGGCTGGATGAGCAGCACTGAATGCTGGAGCACCTGCAGAGTCTGAGTGTTACCTTGGGCAGAGCCTCCAGGACCAGAGCAGTCTTAGCCGCGTCTCCATATTGCTGGTAGGCCTCCGCCTTCAGCCTCATTTTCTCCGCCTCCGCCTTTCCCACGGCTTCGATAGAAGAAGCTTCCGCCTCGCCGATCTTTCTGATCTTCTCTGCCTCAGCCTGAGCTATCAGCACCGTCTTCATCCTGAGTGTAGGAAATAATACGTGTTTATTAAAAGGGAGACTGTATGACCGCAGCATATGGAATTAAGCCTGTAAGAGATAAACTGATAGACAGATACTTCATAAATCCTACGGGGAAATTCAGGACACATGATCCACCGACCTCGTTTGTACTTACGACAATAAATCTGAACAGGAAACACAGTAATGGTGTGGCTGTGTTTCTTTAGAGCTCTGACGTCCCCGTAGACTAATAAAACTGAATAAAAACGGCCCTACACGTAGCCTGACAAGAATCTAAAAGCTGCCTGTATTGACTGCTTTATTGTAAAAATACTGTAAAAACAAAACAAAAATAATACATCTTTAAATTTTCTATAATTTCCCTCCACTGCTTTCACAGTGACGTGGTTTTTATTGTTGTCATTGTGTTATTATTGTTACTGGGATGCAAAAATCTGACTCAGCTGGTGTTTCAACAGCTGACTTTCCTTCTCCACCTCCTCACAGAAACATCGGCTACAGAGGTTACAGGCTTGTTGTTATTCCAAATAGTCAACTACAGACTTAGGAGGACTCAGGAGCATGGACTGCTGGGGATGTGTTTATCAGTTCTCTCAAAGAAGAAGTTGAAAAGCACGGACAGCTGGGATAAACACACGCCCATCAACGGGCTGAGCTGGGGAAAAGACAGTCAGGAGAGTCAGAGACAAGAGTACACGTAGATACACTGCACGAGTGTGTGAGAGTGAGAGTTTTCAGCAAAGATGGCAAAAAGTTCACTGCTTTCAGTTGAAAAAGCAGCGAAATCTGACTGAACTATCCTGTAAGTGAGGCGTTGTCACTCACTTGTGCCCCTCAGCCAGCTGCTGCATTTTGTAGGCCTCGGCCTCAGCGGGTCTCTTCACAATGGCGATGAGCTCTTTGTCTGTCCGGTCGATCTCCTTCTCCTCGATGGTGATCTCTTTCTTCCTCTGCACCACCTGGATCTCGATCTCCTCCAGTCGGATCTTCTGTTGCTCCTTGGCTGCCTGCAGCTCGTAGGCCAGCTGAGCCTCTGCTTTCTGAAAACATCGGCATATGAACCGTCACATTTCTGAAGCCTGCACATCTCAGCTGACAGATGTAGTTTGTGTTTGAGTTCCAGCATAAGTGAGATAGAAGATTTTTTGGAGTCTTCGGGTGGCTCTATATAATGTTATAACTAAGTAAAATTATCAAGCGTCCCAAGACTCCACATGTTTATTAGCTGTCATGGGTCTGAATGATGTTTAACTCAGTAGAAGTTCAGAATAACTGGCCTACTGTTGGGCCACTGCTGGTAAACAGTAAAACAACATCTAACTGGTTGCACTCTGCATAAGTTCAAATCAAAACGCCTCGTGCAAACCTTAGTGTTGATTTCTTGGTTGAACGAAGCTTTCTGCAGCTCCAGCTCTCGTTTGGAGTCAGCCATCTTGGTGTCGGCCTGGAATTTGATATCCATCATCTCCTTCTTACATTCTGCTTCCTAAGAAACGACAAAGCGACAGAGCTGTGCTCAGCGTGTCATCGTGCACAACGGGCTCCACTTCAAACAGACCGGCTGGAGTCTTCTTACCCGTATCCCAGCATCCCTCTCTGCCTCCGCCACGCCGATGTCGGCATCCCTCTGGACAGCTGCAATCTGGGTCTTCCCGAGGGAGCTCAAGTAATCCAGTTTATCGTACACGTCCTGTGAACGCAGACAAACCAACCGATAAGCTGCAGCGCTCCTGTCAACACAGACTCACAGGAGACTGAAGCGCAGAGAGCTGTGAGGCTGTCGCAGATCAGACACATCAGGTTTGTTTCATTTCCCAAAATCCAACTTGGCTGTGAGGACAATGGTCATCTTTCCCAGTTCATGAAGTGATTAATTAATTTAAATATAAAACAATCTCTTAAATAAGGGGAAGTAATCATTTGTCTACGTGCTGCAATCCGTCTCTACAAACACAACCCTTCAGTTTGTCCTACGAGCGTTTGATTTGATTTGTAGTGAGCGTGTTTTCTAATTATCCCTTTTCTCTCATCACTGACGGAGCAAATTTGTCCTGCGTGGTTTAGACAACAGACATCTTGTAAGTGTGTGTGGTAACGGCTTATCGATTCCTGCACCTTCGCCGAGCTGTGGGCACGAGCAAATGCATCGATAACTGGAACTGATGACGACGCTGAACGCTGCATTCAGTCTGAACAACACAAACGGGAACATCAGCGCTCTTACAAACAATATCTAAACAGGAGAGAAAATATTCTGATGTTCTGATCGAGTAAGATAAATAAATAAGTAATGACATCTCACAAATGTGTGCGTCCTCCACTAACAATATGACAGAACACATCTAATAGAAAGAGACTCTCTGGTCAGCCGCTGCACCTGCACCACACTTCTATTAGTTCTAATCAACAGCAGTGAACTCTGCAGGGGAAGTCCGCTGCCAGTCAATTATCAGACCCATGAAAGCCGGCGGAGATTACTGCATCAACCAGAAGTAGGAAACGCATTCACTGAAGGCTCTTTTAAAAGCGAACCAGGGAGGATCTGACTAATGTTTGACTCCCACAGCAGTGGTCAGTGCATCAGCATAAGCTCCATTTCCCACAAGCTTAACAGCAATTCATGAATCACACTGAAATAAATACAACAGAGCTTTCACAAACACAACGATGCATCGCTGAGCTGAACACACTCGACTCATTCATTACCCTACAAACAGAAACCCAAACGTCCGCTGGATCATTATTCCACTGAGAAGAAACGGACAGATGAACTTCATAATAGTGCCACAGGAGAGTTCAGGCAAATATGTGCAGCTATAGTTTGTGGAATCACGCAACTAGGAATGTGTCGGCATTAGATTTTATACAACAATCTTTTTTTATCTATTAGTTCTATATTAGCTGGAACTGAAGAGGACATCGATTTACTGTAGCTGCAGTCTGTCTCTCACCAGCACGATAGACATTAATTAGGTCAGAACATTAATGGATGTTTTAATGCTCTCTTGTGATCATTCTGTTCTTAAGGTAACATCCATCCATCCATCATCTCTACACCGCTTAATCCTCACTAGGGTCATGGGGGGCTGGAGTCTATCCCAGCTGACTCAGGCTGAAGGCAGGTTCACCTGGACAGGTCACCAGTCTATCACAGGGCTACACTTAGAGACAGACAACCAAGCACACTCACATTCACACCTACGGACAATTTACAATCACCAATTAACTTCAACATGTTTCTGGACTGTGGGATGAAGCCGGAGAACCCGGACAGAACCCACGCTGCACGGGGAGAACATGGAGACTCCACATAGAAAGATCCCGGGTGTCCTCACCGGGACGCGAACCGGCGACCTTTTTGCTGTGAGGCAACGATGCTAACCACCGAGCCACCTTGCAGCCCCTTAAGGTAACAAACATGCTTAAATTGTTTATTCATGTCATTTTTATCAATCAGCGACACCTTCATGCTGCAGTAACCCTATTCAGCAGCACTCATTTGGTGTTTTTTTTTCCTTTTAAACCATTTTTAGGATTATTTTTGGGCATTTCGTCTTTATTTAGACAGAGTACAGCTGGTTGGGAAATTCACTGCTTGATGGCATTTGTGCCCGTCTGTGTGCTCCCTCAGTACTCAGCCTTTGTAACTGAATCACTTCTACACATTTGACAGCTGAAATGCTGAACGTCATGAGCAATTTCTGTCTCGTCAAAAAGATGCTGGACTAAGTGAGGATGTCTCAGCTGATAAATATATTTTCATCTAATAAAGTCTGACTGATCTCTATTCTCACACGTGATGATCATCTGTTCACTTTGTATGACTGCAGGTCTCTTCTCTTCTGGCCTGTCTTTGCTCAGTAGCAACATTAGCATGTATTTCAGATGTTCCTATTAGCAGCTACCAGCCAGGTATTGTTGCTGCAGCCGGTCATAGCACCTTTAACCCACCTTGATGGTGAAGCTCAGAATCTCGATGCCCATCCTGCCCACATCAGGAGCTGCTACGTCGCGCACCAGTTTAGCAAACTGGTCCCTGTCCCGATAGATCTGCTCCACAGTCAAGGTACCTGCAAAAGAGAGGCTTCATCAATATCTAAATAACACACTTCATTTTTCACAAACTAGCAGAAGCCTTGTTTTCATCTTCTGTGCTCTACATTTGTGTTTTGACTTGCTGAATCTGTCCTCATTGTAGTTCAACAACGGCCAGATTAGCTGTTTTACAAGAGTTTCGCGAAGCATTGGATCTCCGCTCCCCGCGCCTCATTTGCATAAAGTAGAAGTCAAGTCTACTTTATGCAAATGAGCTGCAGGCCGCATCGCTTTCACATACACAATGAACGGAAAGCGTGATTTTGCCGGATCCAGTGGACAGACAGAATGACTCTTCAGTTAATTTAAATCAACAGCAGCAGCCTGTAATACCTAACTAGAGTCAGTTGTTGTACTTTTGACTTATGCAAGACAGGCAGCAGAACAAACCAATCAACAACTATTCAAATAACTAATTTAAAAAAGTTCAGCCTCCTCATTGTAAAGATTTGCTCCTTTTTTCTGTTTTATATATTTATAAATGGTTTTGTCCTCCTGGTTGGACACAAGGAGAAATCTGAAAATGTCACCCTGAATTCACTAACTAAGAATAAACAAGAAGTTAATCAATCAAAAATGATAACAACTGTCAGTTACCTAGAATGGAGCGCAGATGTCCCTCCAAAGTCTGCAGGAGCACGGCTTTGATTTCCGCCACTGATTTACCAAGAAACTGCTCACAAGCTACAGCCAGCAAGTCCAGGTCAGTCATGACTTTGACCTGAAGGAGACACAATATCAGAGTGAGGCCAGTTCACCTGCTGACGGACCAAAGTCTCAACATACAGGAGCAGAAGATGACACCTAGTCTGTCACATACTCTCAAAACACCACGAAAAAAAAATGTTAACGACGAATGTAAACAGTTAAACAATGATGGCGACATCTCAATGGACCGCTGATAGAACATTTCCATGTGTGATGTGCTGAACGTTGCAGGAAATGTTGTGATTTAACTCAGAATTTCAAGCAAGAGGAAACTCCGTGATTAAACAGCTGTGAACTGTGTAGGAGGCCTTTCAGAAATGTCATTAACTGTTGTCAGCTGCTTCCGTCTCTAAATGGAATCGACAGCGTTACATATTTCCCGTTAGTTAAAAAACAGATTTGTTATTAACGTGAGTATTATGTTTTAAAACCCTGCTAAATACACTGCATAACAACTTATATAAAAAAATTTAAATCACATATATTGATGCCTCACTTCATAAATATGTTTTTTCTGTAAACCCAGATTTTTATTTAATAAAAAGTAATAGTTCTTAAATGTTAAATGTCTCAACCAAAGCAGCCGGACTACAGCTTTTTTCAAATAAAAGAGTCTAAACTTGGCGAGGTTTTGTTTAGGTCAGGAACTATCTGATCAAAGAACATCTGATTGTGGTTTTCAGAAGTCGACAGTTTTTGATATTGTGTCAACAGGGACACATTTCAGTAATTAAACCTAAGTAAGTAAACGTAATGTTCATCACTCCTACTGATAACTGATAAAGTCTGATGTGACAGGCTTCACAGACAAGACGCGTTGAGCCTTACCTGAGCGACACCTGTGACAGTGATGGCTACGCCTTCTGCTGTCTCCACGTCCTCACAGCGGGGCTGCAGAGTCATGATCTCCAGACTCAACCTGCAGCAGGAACACAGGCACATTATTAGGCCACAAAGAGGCGAGTAAAAAGTACAACACTGAAGTAAAATGGATTTAATTACTATGATTTTACACACATATACACAAAAAGACTAAAAACATCTCTACATACATTCAAAAATTTAGAGTGGGTGACAATTTCCTGTCAGTCTTTTCGTGGTCAAGAAAGTGTGTCGTATTCCACTCAGGCTAACAATGTCAAAAATGTGCAAAAAATGGTAATAAAAGTTAGTATAATTAATGTTAACAATATTTTATTTAAAGGATTCTTATGAAATATATGTAAAGTACTGCAAAGTAAAGAACGGCTGTGTGTAATTTAGGCAAAGTAGTTTATGTGACTGTCTGAAAGTCTGCCGCTATTTTATGATCAACAAAAACTGAAAATATAATTGTGCAAAAAGTGAAAAAAGACTATTTCAGAGTGCAGGTTAAATGAGGGGTGGTATCATAAGATTAGGTTTTAATGAAATGAAAAATACTTTATTTATCCAGTATCAAATAATATTAAAGGCTGTGCAGTCGACTGCAGACACTTGGTAACGGTAAACAGCAGATGTAGATGATGTGATTTCCCTGAACTAAAGACGCGATCATTATGAAAGGTACGGCGGCCGATGGGGGCAAATGATGTGCATATACACAAACGAGCTGCAAATACATGAATGCGTCGCATAAACAGAAATGGGCTGCAAAAGGAAAACACTGCATATCCAGTCATACAATGGAACTGCCCCAGGCCTCTCGGGGCAGTTTTTAAGTCTTTAGCTTTTCAGTCACTGTGATCCGATGTGTGCTGAAGCGGTGTTTTACTACCTTGTGTTCTCTCTGCTATTTATCAATGGAGATGAGAGAATACACACCTTTTCATTCCGCTTTTCCCTCAACTAACGTTACTTGTCTCGCTCACCGTTGTCTGCCTCTCAGGTGAAAAGCTCACTACTGCCCCTAGAGGCCTGGGGCACTTCTGCTGTGTGACTGGATATGCAGCACTTTCTTTTTGCAGTTTCTGTTTATTTAACGCATTCATGTATATGCAGCTTGTTTGTGTATATACACATCATTTGTCGCTGTTGCCGCTGCAGAAAGGACTTTGCATTTATATACATTTTTACTTTGGCCGTTGATCCACTGGTTCTCACCTCTACACACCTGGCGAAAGGCTGTGAGAAAAGCTTGTTTGTCAAACAGGCTGTGCTGCTGACCGTTTACACTGTCCACACACAGCTGTGTTATCTAAACTTATCATGTGTCACAGTTCAATCAGGATGAACTCAACACAAAGCTGCAGACGTGGGTTTACTGGTAACTATAATCTGATGCCTGACGAGTGGCAGTAAAGTTTACTGTTGTGGAATATAGAATTGCTGTAAATGTTTGATCTCTGATAACTATTGTAAATAAGTAACTCAAGAAATGCTTCTCTATTGTGACACTAGCCAACTAAAAAGACAAGGTGTCCTTGTCTACACAGCTCAGAAAAGTGTGAATGTGTGTTTATAATGTGAGCTGAAAAAAATATGCCTGAACTGGTTTACATTAGAAACATGTGGTGTGTAATATGAGGCACATCTTGGTAGAACAGCTTTCATCCTCTCATTACTTTCTGACTGTCTGCAGATAATGGGGCCGACTTCCCTGTGGAAACCAAAAACAGCAAAGGCCCATTGTAGCTGTGGTCTCTGTAAAAACGCTTCATCCAAAAGGGGTGTTTCATACCACAATCCACTCATCTGTACTAAGCAGCACTTGGTTGTGATAAAACATTTCAAACAGGGAGTGAAATGCCAAATCTAGATACGATAGCACAAGTGGATGTCACTGTTTGGACTGTGTTGTCACCTTTGGGCGTCCGAGATGAGCCACCAAGCCCAGGACCAGCCTCCCACGATGTAGGTCTTAATATCAGAGCCACAACAACCACCTGAAGGAGGAGAACAGCTCCATTAAGAAAAGCCTTCATATTCAGCAATCCAGGTGCTTAAACCTTTGAATCCAGACATGACAGCATCAAACTACAGGGAGGGGAGCGCAGACATGTCGAACATAAACTCCATCCTTAACTGAACACTCCTCTGATTCATTCAATAGTTACTTTACTTTGTTCACTGCAAGGCCAGTTCAAAAGATCTGTCGGTTGTGAACAGGTTGTGTGAATAAAACAACAGAAGAAGATTTAAACAGAGAATTTCTGTGGTTGCTACACAGCAGTGTTTCTCAGCTGGAGGGTTAGATGCCATCTGGGGTAACAGTCCTGAGGGACTGTGAGAGTGATGATGAAACTAAGAAACAAAATCTCTCATATGCACTAAATAGGCCAATTATTAATATATATTTGTAAGTGTAGCGTGTTTCATCTTATGTAAAATTAAGATTGAACAGATTATAAATATCAATGAAAATCAAAGCCCCAAATGTACAGCCCCCATGCAACAAAAGTGAGTAAGTAGCATGCATGTGGTGTTGATGTAGTCTGTGTTAGAGCTGAAGAACATGCAAAAAATCATATTGTGAAAAAGAATACGATTGCAATATGGGTCACAATTTTGGTGGGAAAATTGGTAATTTTTGAATTTCTTTTCCACTTAAAATCTGAAAATTATTACGTAACTTGAACTTGTACCAAACAAGCTTGTTGCCATATGTCTAGAGGATATGATCTGTAGGCCAGGGCGTCACACCGTAGGGGTACAAGAGTGTGTTGTGACACATTTTATCAAAGAATCTCAAGTCCTGTGGTTTGGATGTTGCACTGAGGCAGACTGCAGTGTCAGGAATATCTGGATAAATTGTTAAACCCTAGTCAGTGTGGCCCAGATTCTTATCTGCCAGCATCTGTAAGTTGCTCAATGACCTCCTGCATTCATATTCAAGAATATTTGTGCTAAATTTAACAAATATTGTCTCCATGGTGCTGTTAATAATACTGTCTTCTCTGATTTAAACAAACGACACTGAATCCGTGTTAGGTTGATTCATTGCTTTGCCCCAGTCATTGCTATTCCCTCAGTAATTCCTTCCTTCAAAACCAGTGTCTGGATTTAGAAGGTATGCTGTGTTTATATTGTAAATTCACACATTTCCACTCACTTGTTGTGGCTCGTTTCCTGATGTCTTTGCTACTATTGCTATTCACAGCCATGTTGTGGTCAGAGGTGATGGAGGACTAGCAAACACGCCCCCTTTCAGTGTACCATCGTGGGCCTCATGTGCAAATTTATAACTAACTGTGCTTTTTAAACATGACTAATTAAGTATCTGTGGGGTCAGTTCGGTACTGATAAGCCAAAGAGTTTCAACCGTTAGAACCAAATCAATGCTAACGGATCGTCGCTGGCTTGCTAGCTCAGGATGTTATAGCATTGCAGGTTATAAACTGGCTAAACTGTGATTCAGATGAGAAGGGCTGATTCAGTTGCTATATACACTCGCTATCTGGTTTTCAGACACTAATTAACTATCTTGCTGTTTGGTTTAACAGTTTGCACCTGACACCAGCTCGTTAGCATAGTGAGCTCCTCTGTCACCATGACAGCTAGCTGGCTCCGTTAGCGCGGTGCGAAGGGGAACACCTACCGGAGACCACCAGCGCCTCGTTCGGCCCCACAGTTAGACAGCTTCCCATGTCGACGGAAGATAGTAACGGACAGAAGAAAAAACTTAGCAGCCGGTGGGATCCTTGACGGAGATTACTGGCGTTATCCGCGGTTTAATCCAAGACTGAATGATTAAAGAGGCTTCACGTCCAGAAGGATGGACAGCAACAACAACACGCCCCGCCCCGCCCAGCGACGACGCACTGACGTCACCGCGGCCGACGTCGGCGTTCAGGTAGCGTAAAAAAAAATAGGTTGAGAAAATAAATAAATAAATAATTAAAAAAAAAACTTTTGTAAAATTCAGTAATAATGCAATCAGGTAAAATAAATTGAATTTAATTATTCTTTAAAAAAATAAATAAATAAAACTTTGGGGTTAAAAAAAGAAAAAGAAAGGTAAATCGAATAAAAAAATAAAATAAAATAACTATATATATATATATGAGCTCTTTTAAAATAAAATAAAACAAAATAAAATAAAATAAAACAACTGAGCTGTGAGCTGAACTATCAGTTGCAGAATTCAAAAAAAAAAAAGTAATACACTGCTTGGCAAATCCTGTTGTCCATGTTGTTTACCCCATAAGAAGATTGTTTTAGGGCTACCTTGATTACACCTGTTGACTCTTACCTCAAAGTGGTTGGTATAATGCTACAATAAACAGAATAACTTCGTGACCGATGCTGTTATTTCATCTGTGGTTGCATAAGTTTGTCACTTTGTTTTGAATAACCAAACAACTGTGTTGCAGTTCTCCACTCCGACCACTAGAGGGCAGAAAACACCGAAACGAGAAGCCTGTTTAGATCAAGTTACTTACACTTGAATAATAAAGCAAATCAGTGAAATGAAATCAACTTAATTTTCTATTGCCAGTGGGAAGAGAACAGTCCTGGTGTTCTGTGTTTGCAGCCACATACAAAGAACTACAGTCGTCTGATCAAGAGGAAATAAAGGCACGAGAAGCTGTTTCAAAGTGTTATAAAATATTGACCTGCAATTAAAATTAAAGCTAATTTTTGTAGTAATTCCCTCTGCATTTAACTGATCTAAAGACACAAAATCACAATACTCCCGTTCTAGCTTCCATGCATGGCTGTCAGTCAGTTGTAGGGTTGCAATAAACTCTGATCAGTCACAGAGGCAGGGCAGCTTCAGCTGGCAAACAGACAGCTACAAAATCACTAAACTCCCTTTATTTACACTAAGATTTCCTATCCTGTTCTGAAAATATGCAAACAAATTTCAAGCAGGATTCTTACCAGTAATATTATTTGACATGAAAAGCACGAATTTGCTTCTACAGATGTGATATTTTCCTGATATTTATGAACAGGATGGTTCTTCTGTGAACACTGAAGAGAGTTTTATATATAAAGCTCCTGAAGTTTCATTCAGCAGTTCTGTCTAACTATTTTCCCATCTTTTAATTTGTTTTTAGATTTTCAAGAGTTGCATGCTGTCATGTAGGTATAACAATGATACCACAAACTGTCTGACTTGTTTTGCTGCTGTCAAAGTTTAAAACCCTCCTTTCTCTTTTTTCTCATTTCAGCATCTGTCTCCAAGTTTAGTCAGAACCCGGTCAGTGTGTCCTTCCTCCGACCCAGATCTTCACCATCGCTCTCCAGCCTTGCTTCACCTCCACCTTCAGTGTCTACGCGCTCCATCATCTGTTCAACTCTGAGCATTAAAAACACTTAAAAATCACCGGCATGCAGGAAAACGAGTGAATGCAAAGTCTGAGCGCAAAATGATTCATGTCAAATTTAGATTTATAATTAACTTGTATTTTAATGAATATTTTCTTCAGGCTGGAAATGATGCAAACACGTGACAGAAGACAGTAAGACATTCTGTTAGAGATGTTCTGTTCACTGTATCTCACTGTGACGGTTTCTCTTGGACTTTTCCTTTGTGCATGTTATCTGTGTGTCTAATTACAGCCTCCTCTGTATTGCACCACATCACCCCCCACTAACTCTCTCTCTCTCTCTCTCTCTCTCTGTTACAGGGATCAGTGGCAGTGAATGAGCAGCTTGCCGTGTCACTGTTAATACCAACAAGAAACGAAGGAGGGAGGAGAAGGGAGTCATTCACCACATATACCTCTTTATACCTTTGCAGGAGGGAGGACCAGAGGAAGACAAGAAGGAACTGAGGAGAACAATGAGAATTTAGCTCAGTAAAGTAAAGTAAGAAGAAAAAGGGTAAAGTTTTCTCTGCAAAGAAAAGAGAGGAGACAAGAAAAGAGAGACACTGGAGACAAACAAAAATAATTTAAAGTCTGGGAGGATAAAGATGAAGATGCCACTCAGTGGGATTAACAGGTTTGTCTTCACCTCCTGAAGAAAGACTCTTCATCCCTCCATCCAGCCGACTGGACGTCTGAGGCGAGACCGACGCTGGAGCGACGGAGGACAGAGAGAGAACCAGGAGAGAGGAGTTCAGATCACGCAAAAGGGTGAGGAGCAGTCATTAAGCTTATAGAGGCATGCTGGCTTTATCCATAATCTCCTTATTGTGTGTGACTGTGTGCTTTTAAGGAGCACTGTGGGCCATCTGACATGTCTTTTTTATTTCTTAAACTGTGAGCAGCTTCATTTAAGGACTTTACAATGTTTTAGAAATATGTCAGCCTTACAGGAACCACACAGACGCAGAACAGCTCCACTGAAAAGTCAACATTTCTGCATTTTACACAAGTTTCCATTATTATGTAAAAAAAAAAAAATATAATAATGCAGCAGTTATGAGCAGTGATCAGTTTGTGTTTTTTTAAGTTAATGATGACGATGATACGTTAATGAGCTGCTACAATTGTGACTTAATAATAAGACAAACCTCAAATACTGCGGTTACATAATATTCATAACACAGTGAAATTAAGAAAAAATATAAATTTATGAACTTTTCTCAGTTGGAAACATTGAAGAGTTTGCAGTAATATCACAAACAGCAGATTTTAATGTTGATAGATAGATTTGGTTTTAATAAACACATATATATGCTGTGTGTCTGTGTTAGTTTAACGACATCTTTTTCTGCCACAGTCTTCCAAATCAAATAATCTTTTGTGTATTTACTATTGCTCTTTAATAAAACAAAACAAAACAATTATTTTTCTGTGTAAATAATATAATAATTAAATGAAACTTCTCAATTTGCCCTATAATTGGGGTAAAAATGAAAACTTTGACCCCATTTTTGTAAAAGTGTTTATACATAACAATTGATAGTCTCACAATGCCTCTTATATTTGAGAAAGAAGAAAGAAAAACTAGCAAAGCAAAACATTTGAGACGGGAACCTTTGGTTGACTTGCTGTGAATGTCCCATGTAAAAAAAATGGTACTCGTTATATGATTAAAAGTTAAATTACAGTGCAGCAGGTTGGTTTTGTATCTCGGTTCCTCCCATAGACGAGAGATGGTTCCTCCCTGAGTACTCATAAAGCTTTTATGCTCTTATCTTGACTTGCTGTTAAAGTATTTTCTGAACTGGGTGCAGCTGAGTCACAAATATTTCAACACAGTCGGCAGGCGAGTGCAAATTTTGGCTGAGAACATGGCAACAGCAGCTAACCTAAACCTAACCTATATCACCCTTTGGCCTATAGGGGGCAGAGCTGAGCACAAAAATGAAGGTGTGACTGTTGTAGCAAACACCTGCCAGTTTACACACCCAGCAGACATGGAGAATTCATGAATCATGAAGCTGGAGCTGTTTTTAAAGTAAGTTTATCAGTCGCTCTGCTTTCGGCTCTGTTTTGGTCTCCATCCAGTTAAATGTTTGGCTGTTTAGCTGCTAACGGTGCATGAAGGCTCATCAGAGGGAAATCCAGTGAGAGCAGAAAATTTAACTGCAATCAAAGTTCACGTGTCAGAGAAGAAGATTCCTCCAGTTTGGCGTTGGATTCCTATGATGCTAAATGTTTAGAAGTTTGTTTTACGGTGATGTGTGATTGAATATGATGGTATTTTACTCTAAAAAAGGAGGAAAGTTGTACCAAATGGATGCAAACTAGGATTTTACCTGCTCACAATGAGCCTTTAGGGAACGACTGTGCATGACAGTAAGCACGATCGGTTCCCATACAGTAAAGACAAAGTGTAAGTGCAACTTATAGAAATTATTTCTGATCAGTTGATAAACAAATGAAGTCTGTTAGTTGAGTAAGTTATTCCTCAATTAACAAAACAGATCCAAAAAAGTCATAAATTCTTAATTTCTGATTCATGATTTTCTTTGTTTGTCTAAAACCTCTCAACAAAAACCCATCATCCAGCAAAAACCCTGCAAACAACTTCAAAATAGATTTTATTTGAGCTCCACCAGTTTGAATTTGTTCCTACATCACACGTATGCTAGCAGTGTATCCTGGAGCTACTGGCCTGAAGCAGAGCTGAGCAGCAGACTAAAGGGCTCCAGCAAGACCCAACCAAAACTAACTTACGTCACTTATCACATTTTATCAGACGCTGCAGGACTCCATCTGCAACCACTGAAGGTTTTACAGCCAACAACATCTGCAGTTACACTCCTCAGAGTCTGATACGTAAAATGAGCTCGTTGAATGTCATGTTCACATTGAAGTCATTTTGTAAAACATCATTCAAATTAAGTAATTTTTTCCCCCCATAATCAGGAATAAAGCTGCAAATGTAAAGTGTCCAAACCTCCTCTGGACAGTCAAGCCGTCCACCTATCACTTTAAATTTGGGTTGCCCCAGAAAGTTTCCCACAATCGACCGGCTGTCTAATCCATGTGAGTGCTCGGGTGTCCATTAGAGGGGTCGACTCCCATTTGGGGGGTTGGTGCGTCGCCCTCCGGCCTAAAGGCAGCGGAGGACGGCAGGAATCAGAAATGGCTTCACAGACTGTAAGCAAGAGATGTTTGTTCAGGGACATCGACGTCGCTCTTATCATCTCTGCAGCTTTTCTAAAACCTACAATCTGGTTTTCACGCTGCATTCTCTTGTTTTTACATTCTTTTCCCAACTATCTGTTCTGCTTCTGATGTGTTCAGCACAATGAAGGCCGTCCAGGAGAAACTTCTCACCAGAATCTGCAGCTCTTTTTGGATTCCACTCAACTCAGCATTTTA